CTAACTGCTATGTTAACCAGTAACAATAAACAACTGAATTGCACAAGCATTCAGGCTGGAAGTGGCAAATATAGAGTCATTTACATCACCTCTTATATCTTATTACTCCTCTAAAACACTCAGTGGAAGTATTCTGCCTCCAGCAGGAGACAGACCTCTTCTGAGGTTTCACTGTCAATGATGGCCTATTATTTCAACCCAAATACTTGGTTGAGGGCAAGTCTTTGGGTTATGTTTTTCCAGTGTTGGGTATGTTTTGTGTTACCCAGCCGGGTAAGTGGCTGGGTCAATCTCACTGACATTTGGAACAATATATACTCCTCCCCCACCCTCCGACATAACAAGCCAGCGGCGGAGTTACTAGAACACAGCTGTTGAGTTACAGAGCTTTTTGTATCATCTTAAGGAGAGAGCAGTTCTCTGTGCCGCAGAATTGGTGCATTTACTCTGTGAAATAAAGATTTATTTAATCTATGAAGTCTTTACTGTGCTGTAAGTATTTTACGCAACGCAATAAACAAGGATGATATGTCAGTCATCTAAATGCGTCAAAATGCTAAACCCAACATGCTAGGTGAAAATAGCCCTTGGTTGGGTTTGCTCATGTTTGATTGAGCCATGGGATGCAAAACAACCTAAATTGGGTTTCTTTCAACTGACATTTTAGTTTTTTCCTTCTTTCAAGGAAAGGTTCATCCCAAAATTAAAATTATGTCATTAAAATGTACCCTCTCAGGTTGTTTAAAATATGTATGACTTTTATGTTCTACGGAATAAATAAGTAGGCCTATACCAAAGTTTTTTTTTTTTTTTGACAAAAACAGTTAAAGGTTCTATATGTATTTTTTAGCGGTCTCTATCGGTGATGTTTCAGATTGCAACCAATTTTTACAAGAGCGCTCGTGCTCTTGCTCGTGCTCGAACTCAAGAGCGAGCACTCATGGTACCGGCCACACTGAGACTTTCAACTGACCGGAGAAAGCATCACACAACATGCTGGAGACTCATGTAAACTCCCACTGCAACGTTACAATAATAGGCTTCTTTTATCAGCTTGGCGTTGAACTAATGCTCCATGCTCGTACCATGATAACGTTACATTGACTGCATTTAGCCGACATGTGTTGTTATAGCATAAGGCATTTCACTAACTATTCGTGTATCTTTCACAATCAGCAATGTCAACATAGGTGAATGTATAATATGATAACGAAAACGGTAAGTGAACTAGACTGAACAATTTCAGTGTAACAGTAAGATCGTATGAAGTAACATTACTGTACTGAACGTGTCTGGAAATGTGTATTATAAACAATATGATAGTAGTGGGATGAGTGACGTTAGACAGTAGATCTAGTAGCCTACATAAAATAAAAGTTACATCCTAAAGCACCTACTTTTTGTTATCCTGGAACAGTCTTTTGTATTCATTTCATGTCTCATGTATGTTATAGTTTACCTTGCTATTTCATTACAGTTTACCATTATTTCACGAGTTCACACTTACAAATGATCAGAGAATAGATGGTTATGCTTATTTGGCGTGCTGTCCGGGGGGAGGGCTCCGAGCTCGGAAATTGGGCCCGAACCCAGAGTACTCCCCCCGTATCTCTGTTTAGGAAGATAACTAGGCAAGTGTGAGGAGATGGGGTGGTGGAGGGATGCTGAAAACTGTAGAGGAATATGGGTGAGTCGACTGAGTATATTTATAGGCTTTACTCGTGCTGATTGAGTGGACCTGTTGATTACTGATTGCTGACAGCTGGCTGGAATGACTTGATTGTTTGATCATTAGAACGTGTTCCTCCCGAACCTTGTTAATAAAACATCAATTATTTCAGCATATCTGAAAACTTGAAATTTACCACAATAAAAATAGCGGAGGTCTCTCCATAATTCAAACGCTCTGCCGATGTTGATCCATGTTTTCGTCCTAAGTCGATCCGATTCACGTTTGGCCTGACGAGATACATTTTTGCAGATACATTTTGTTTTGTTTTTTATATTTATGTGGAGTTTGTGTTGTAGTCTGTGTTGTGCTGGAGGCAGGTCGTTTTTTGGTGTTATCAGACTCCATGTCGTCAGCTGCAGTGCCGTCGCATAGACTGTATATAAAAAGGAGAGGGGCTCGGGAGCGCGCATGCACGTCACATCCGATGGATTTCGCAGAAAATCCGACCCGGAGACTTCACATAGAAATAGGAATACTGGCCTTCAGAGATAATAGCAAAACCCGACAAGTGGATCATTGTAATGTGTGATTCAGTGATGGGAATAACGGCGTTGTAAATAACGCCATTACTAACGGCATTACTTTTTCCAGTAACGAGTAATCTAATTGATTACTCTTCTCATCTTAATAACGCCGTTCCCGTTACTGCCAAAAAATGCGGCGCGTTACTATAACTGATGAAGCTGGGTTTTTTTTTTCATCAGACCAACTAGATCTCTGAGCGAGAGGCAAATACTTTTTTTACTGTTCTTCCTTGGTTAGTGGGCAGAGCACGAGACAAGCGCATAAATGCTGACGACTGAGGTAGAGTAAAATGTCATTGTAAGCCAATCAGAGGTAGAGTTGGGCGGGTGTTCGAAAGCACGCATAGTGGTAGGCATTCGGCACTTTTGACTCAGCTCACTGAAAAGAGCCGGCTCTTTTGGCTCACAAACGGCTCTTTAAATGACTTTGACTATAATATTTAAATTTTTTTTACATAATTATTTAATTTCTTTAGGCTAAATTTGTAAAAATAGAGTCGGCTCTTCAGATATGCGAGCCAGCTCCCGACGTTCACCTAAAAGAGCCGGCGAATCGCGAACGACCCATCAAAAGCTCATTCGCGAACGAGTCGATCCATCATCACTAACGGCTAACGCTCATGAATTGCGAACGACCCATCATAACGCATAGTCGGACAGGACAGGACACACAATGAACAACACAAGCAAGCCAGTCAGTCAACGAGAGACAGGTATGGCGACGAGCTTAACAAGCTTAATTTAATTTTGCCCAGTTGTGGCCTGTTGCGGGGCAATAAATATCAAAAGTTCCAAAACATCTATTGTGTTATTTGCATTGATCCACTATATAAACATAATATCTACATGGCATTTGATTGGAGGCTAGTCTCACTTTGTCCCACAGCAACATTTTTTTTTTTAGATGTGTGTACAATGTTTCATGTTTCTGTTAATAATGTATTGTATTAAGTGTCCATTTCATTATAATATTCAGATTTATCTAAATAATTGAACGTGCACATGTATTGTAAGTTCCGTTAAAGAGGGGTAGAGGTGGGGTCACATTTGAGCATTTAAAATTTAATTTTACTTGAAAGTAACGCAATAGTTACTTTCTTAAGTAACTAGTTACTTTTAAAATTTGTAACTGAGTAACTAATTTAGTTACTTTTTGGAAGTAGTAACTAGTAACTGTAACTAATTACTTTTTAAAAGTAACTTGCCCAACACTGGTGTGATTACAACCCCTTCACACACAGGCAATAAAAAAAGGATTCATTTTAGAAGAAAAGTTACATATAGCACCTTTAAGTTAACTTTTTTCAAAATGTTTTATTTTGTGTTCCTCAGAAAAAAAAGGATGTTGTTGGTGTAATAAAACGTATGTGTACAACATATACGACACATCAAATCCACAAAGCCAGCATTGCAAAAATATGTGTCCACTTGACATCCTGCGTGTTACGGCCCTGCCCCTGTTTTTTTAACTTCAGTTTCTTTTGTGAGAATTATAGGACTAACTCCTCCTTGGTGGGCAGGATTGCCCTAATGAAAATCAGCTGCACCTGTGGCAACCTATTTAAGGAGCTCCTGGATTTTGTCTAGTTGTCTCTCATTTTTGTTTTGTCTTTATTTGAAGAGTGGGTTCTTGAGTTTGTGTCCCCATATGATTTCCACAACTCTACAAACCTCATTTCCAACAGTTTATTGATTTGATGTTGTATTGATATTTACTATTATTGCCTTATATTTTGACCCTAGACATTATTTGTTTTAATTTTAAGTCGGGTCGTAACACTGAGTACCAATGCATGTTAATTTTCCTCATTAATGACCCATGTTGCTCTCTCCAGTCTGAGCATCAGAGCTTGACAGTCATTGCAACAAAGGAAGGCTACAAATGAGACATTACGTTCTGCACATTTCCCTCCACGGTATTTATTCACCCTGTTTTTTTGGAAACACTCAGAGAGGCTGATATCACCACTGGAGTGTTTACCAGAGGCTGGAGTGTCTCTTGCAAAGCGAGCATTCTCCAAGTGCTGCTGAAATTGCTTTCGTTTTTCCTCCTCTGTTTTAAAGTACTCGCGCTGAGAGAAACACTTAGCCAGTGAAGGGAGAGCAGCCTGACGTGAGGTACTGATGAGCCTGCCAATCTATCTCCTGACACACAGGTATCAGCTGGAGTGGTGCCAAACAGCAGAGGCTCTTCTGCCTATAAACTGTGAATGGAGCCCTGAAAGTGTGAGTAGGCCCCAGTCACTTATATCTGGAGGAGGTTTGGGATGAATTGGGCTTGCACTGAGTACAGTGATGCCGTATGGGAGGAAAGCATAGAAAGAACCCCATAACTCAAGGATAGTTAAGAGCTGGTCTGATAGCATTAAAAATATGATCTGAATGACAATAATGAGTCTTTAAATTGTGATATGCGAGGAGACTGCAAAGGCCTCTGAAGATTGTGATCTGTGGCTAACAACAACAATTATTTACAGTAAGAATCTTAAGAGATCTTAATGGACATCTGAACAAAGTTATAATGCTAAGGAAAAGCAGCAAAAAAAAAAAAAGATACCATTTTCAATATATGTATGCATTCATATTTTTCTTCTTATGAAAAAAGAAAAAGAAAGACATGATAACAAATGAAAAAGGTTTCAAATAATTTCCTGCAAATATCTGACACTTTTGATTGGAGCCTTAGTTCAGTTATGCAGTGTATATATTTAATTAACAGAGCGGAAAAAAAGTGTTTAACTTACCCCGTTTTAGCGAAATTTGTCCAGTAAGTCATTACCACCGCTGAAAGCATGACATCGTTTTTGGAAAAATTGCAGTTAAAGAGATCAGTAGGGCCAATCATGGGAATTCCAAACACATAAGGCACCTCGTCTCCATGTGCTGAATCCGACCAGCTAGGTTTCATTTCACTCTGACAATGGTGGTAGAATGCATAAAAGTACGTTGGAGATCCATACTGAGCATGAAGGTCTGCCGTAGCTACCGCTGGTGCCACCCATTGGTGATCGGTGAAGAGTGCAACCAGAGTCTTTCGTCTGGTCTCCGGATTCTCCTTGTCAGCCCAGTCGGTATACATGAACTTGATGGTTTCTCGGAGCGTATCCTTGCCCTCGGGATAACCATAGAGGTGGTCCACAAAATCAGACACAGCAAAGTCAAAATCATTTGCAGAGACACCATCCTCACTGTCCACGATGCCATCCACAAATTTAAAACCCTCACCCTGGTTGACGCCAAGCATGATGTCATAGTTGAGGAACTCTCCCTGCTCCATCAGAATTTGGGGGTCATCGGGGATGACGTCACCATCGATAACTGGACCAAAAGCAATGTGGTACTTGGCCTGTGTGATGTACTGTTCAATCAGCTCCTTGTAGTTTTTGTTCTGCAGACATTCCACCAGATCTATAGTATCTAGCATGTTGCAGCCCACCTTCTCAGCTAGTATGCGGGTGTATTTGGCTGGCTGGTAGTTGACGGCCCAGCTTGATAGAGCAGTCCCACTCTGGATGATGGCTTTCTGAAACAAATCTGAAAATAAAAATAAATTGAAAGAAACAGCAATTAATATAAAAAAAAACAATTTGCCCAAAAATTTGAATTAGTTCACGTGCGCGAAACAAATGAGGTTTGTTTCTTATGTGTCGCACAAGCACGATTGCACTTCCATATGAGATGTGCTTTATGCATGTGCATTGATTGATGTTTTATGTGAATAAAAGCCTAAATTAAATCTGATGATGAATCAATCATGTATTTTTGGATTAATCTACTTGATTAAACATTGGATTAAACTACTTGATTCATATGGGTTACTTTTACAATGTCTTTTAATGAAATTTCTGAAGCATAGTTCTGGGTGAAAGGACTTTTAAAGGAAGGAACATAAATATATCAGGTTTAATAAAAAATATCTTCATTTGTATTTTAAAGGTAAATAAAAGTGTCATGGGTTTGAAATGACATGAGGGTGAGTAAATTACATATTTTTTTCATTTTTTAACTATTCCTTCAACACTATTCAAAGTGAGAACTGAAGGAAAACAATGATCACAACAATAATGAAATTGAAGAAACAAATATCAAGGTGTTTGTTTATTTCATACTTTATAATACAATGTCTCATTGGAGACTTCAGTTGGACCTTGCCAAAAAAGGACTTGAAAATGAAAGCATGTAGAAAATAATGCTTTGTACTGAGGCCTGGGATTTTTATCCCGTCATATTGTTATGGGTAAGTAATATCAGTCAGACGGCAACTAATATGCCTGTGTCTTGTAGCTGTACCTTTGTCAGCTCAGCCAGGCGTGGCCATAACACGTTGACACAGATTGTGTCCTAGAAAATAGCAATACCTCAGGGCACGGACCTCACTAGGCTGAACCAAGGCTTCTGACGCACTGACACTGAGTGAAAAATAGCCTTCACTCAAGTTTATAATGTCAAAAATATGAAAATATATCAAGGGAAAAAAGTCAGGACTGTCTAGAGCTTTTTGAAAAATATTGGGCATTAAAAATATTAATATCAATGCCTAGACAGTGGGGCTTAGCAGACCCTTCCCATAAAGTAAATACTTATAATATGTTTTAAACTGTTAAAATAAGTCCAAATCAAGCCCAGATGCATCATGGGTTTGTCATGCACATTGAGCTGTACATGTGGAATCCTAACATAATGAGAAGAATAAAAACAGGAAATATCTGCATTTTCTTTTTGTTTTAAAATACGCTATTTTGTAGATCAGAAAATGGTTTGATATCCTGAAGAATGTATGATTAATTTTCTTAATTAATTTTCTTCTTCTTCTTCTTCTTCTTCTTAGTAGTATCAAGCATACAATTAAAGTTGGTTATATTTACTTATTGCATATTGCAAGATGCATTGCAAAAAATGCTAATGGATGAACATCTATGTCATATGGCAAACATAAAAAAGCTCAAGGTATTTTCTTATGGTACACCATTATACTCTGTAGAATGCCTGGCATGTATCTGTAGACAAAGGGCTCAGATGAAAAGCAGGAGTAACAAGTGAAAATAAAAGCATTTGCTTATTTCACAATTTACATTATGTAATTCATTCATAAATCATGGCCGACCTTTTAGACCGGAACACCGGGAGAGAACTGTACATCTTGTCCTGTTATTTTGATCAAATATGGCATTTCCTTATTTGGTGTTGTGTTAGTGCTAGAGTAACTGTAGCCAGAGGTCATTTGATCCATTACTAGATTTCATCTGCTATCTAGCCAGGCTGGACATTGAATGTAAAATCTATTTTTATAGTGGAACAATTGAGTTTCAGATGAATGCCTTGTAGGGGTTGTTGTTACAATGAAAATGACATGCGGCCAGGCACACTGGGACAGAAGATTCTACCTCAAAGAACGAGAGAAACAAATGGAAACACTTTACTAAAAAAGGTCTCATTAGTTAACGTTAGTGATTGGATTAACTAACAATGAGTAATACATTTGTTACAGAATTATTATTCATTGTTAATGTTTGTTAATAAAAATTCAACTGTTCATTGTCAGTTCATGTTAGCTCATGTTCATTAACTAATATGAACAGATATGACATTTTATTTTATGATGTATTAGTAAATGATCAAATTAACATTAACTAAGATTACCAAATGCTTTATACGTGTTTTTCATTGTTAGTTCATATCAACTAATATAGTTAACTAATGTTAACAGATGGAACCTTTTACCAAAAGATAATTGCAATTTAGAACATTTTCATAACTTTGTTTGTTCGTTTTTTTTTTTCCAAAGCAGGGATTAAAAGGGTTTTGTGTGTGTGTGTGTGTGTTTTGGTTTGGTTTTCTTTAACAAGGCAACATGCATAAATGGACTAAAACAGGAGTGTCCAAACTCGGTCCCGGAGACCAACTGTCCTGCAGTGTTTAGCTCCAACTTGCCTCAACACACCTGCCTGGAACTTTCTAGAATGCCTAGTAAGACCTCAATAAGCAGTTCAGGTGTGTTTAATTGGGGTTGGAGCTAAACATTCCAGGGCTGAATCCGAAATTGAGCCCTAATACCATTACTATTCCCTACTTTAGTCCACTAAAGTTCACTTGAAGGAGCAGCCGTTGAAAGTACAACAGCTGTACACCTGTTATTGCGGTGCAACGTGGGATTGAATGAGTGCACTCAATAACGTCCACTAAGGTTTCGGACAACACCACAAATGGCTTTACCCACAAATAAGGCCAGTTTGGACAACCCTGGACTAAAATTTGTAAATGCAAGTCACATGTGGCTCTCTCATTGGTCATAAGTGCTCTGTTTATGTTGGGGCGTTTCTCTCACAGTGGGACAACAGTTTGGCTTTTTTTTTCTAAAAATCATTACTTATACTGTCTATTTTTATGCGTCTGGCCAAAAATGAATTAATGTTTCATTGCACCTATTTAGCAGAAGAGCAATTAGATGGTATTTTCAGATAAATACTGTAGGTGCATATTGATTGATTTGCAATGACGTCCTAGTGCACAGATTTTACCTCCAGTTTATCTGATTCATTCCGCTAGACAAACAAACAGTGTTGTCTGTAATACAGAAGAGTTCATGCATAAAGATATTGGTTATTTCATCTGCTGAGTCTGCTATCTCAACAAATGTGAACCGCTCCAAAGTTTGTCTTCAGTCGGGCTGAGATCACCTGAAGAACTGTTTGATCCAGATCTGAATTTGATTGTCATCTCAAATGAACAAAACTACGAGAGAAAACGCATCATGTTTCGAAACAAATGTTCAAAACGGTCTTAATATCTCTTATTAAATGGCTCTCTGAAATGCTTTATTCTGACTGATCAGCCATGACATTCCAAGATCAGTTATTCCCCGATTGTGACCATCGTCAATATACGCTGTGTAATGCAGCGTTCTCCCGTTCCATCCTTCCCTCACTCGTGAACAAGACCCCAAGATGCTTGAACTCCTCCACTTGAGGCAGGAACTCTCCACCAACCTGAAGTGGGTAAACCACCCTTTTCAGACTGAGAACCATGGCCTCGGATTTGGAGGTGCTGATTCTCATTCGAGCCGCTTTACACTCGGCTGCAAACCGTCCCAGTGCATACTGAAGGTCCTGGTATGATGGGGCCAACACGACAACTTAATCCGCAAAAAGCAGGGACGAAATCGTGTGGTCCTCAAACCTGACACCCTCCGGCCCCTGGCTACGCCTAGAATTTCTGTCCATAAAAATTATGAACAGAACCGGTGACACAGGGCAGCCCTGTCGGAGTCCAACATGCACCGGGAACAAGTCTGACATTCTGCCGGCAATGCGAACCAAAATACTGCTCCGGTCGTACAGGGACCGGACAGCCCTTAGCAAAGGGCCCCAGACCCCATACTCCCAGAGCACCCTCCACAGGATGCCGCGAGTCAAATGCCTTCTCCAAATCCACAAAGCACATGTGGATTGGTTGAGCAAACTCCCATGAACCTTCCAGCTTGACGGCATCCCTTACTTCCAGTGTCCACCACCGGTTTCGGGGATTGCCGCCTCGACTGGCACCGGAGACCTTACGGCCACAGCTCCAAGCGGCCGCATTGACAATGGAGGTGAAGAACATGGCCCATTCGGACTCAATATCTCCAGACTCCCTCGGGATCCGGTCGAAGCTCCGCCGGAGGTGGGAGTTGAAGATCTCTCTGACAGGGGACTCGGCTAAACGTTCCCAACAGACCCTCACAGAACGTTTGGGTCTGCCGAGTCGGTTCAGCTTCCTCCCCCACCATCCAACTCACCACCAGGTGGTGATCAGCCACAAAGTCGATCATCGACCTCCGGCCTAGGGTGTCCTGGTGCCACGTGCACTGATGGACACCCTTATGCTCGAACATGGTGTCCGTTATGGACAAACCGTTACTAGCACAGAAGTCCAATAACAGAACACCGCTCGGGTTGAGATCAGGGGGGCCGTTCCTCCCAATCACGCCTCTCCAGGTGTCACTGTCACTGCCCACGTGGGCTTTGAAGTCCCCCAGTAAAACGACGGAGTCCCCAGTCGGAGCACTTTCCAGCACCCCTCACAGAGACTCCAAGAGGGCCGGGTACTCTGCACTGCCATTCGGCCCGTAGGCACACACGACAGTGAGAGACCTATCCCCGACCCAAAGGCGCAGGGAAGTGACCCTCTCATTCACCGGGGTGAACTCCAACACATGGTGGCTGAGCTCGCATGCGGGCCTGGCTCCAGGGTGGGGCCCCGGCTGCGTCACGGTCCTAGTTTTTCCTTGCAAAATAAGGGGTTTATGAACCGCTCTTAATCTGACTGTCCCCTAGGACCTGTTTGCCTTGGAAGACCCTACCAGGGGCATATAGCCCCGGACAACATAGCTCCTAGGATCGTTCGGGTACTCAAACCCTCCACCACGTTAAGGTGGCAGTTCAAGGAGAGGTTAATGACAGTATTTACTATAAATGAAACCGGAGGACTTCTGTATGTTGTAGTGTTCGTCCTGTTTTCAGTACGATTATTATGTACACTGCAATGGATTATGAGGT